CCCCAAAACCCCAAAACCCCAAAACCCCGATTAAAAGCACATATATTGAATAAAAGTGCTTAAAATACGAAATCTTTACCCCATACATGCTTCTGTCTTCTCCGTCTTCTTTTCTTCTTTCTTGGAGCCCCTTCTGTATCTTTCTGGTCTTCTGAATCCTTATGCTCCTCTATCCCTTCAATCAAATCAGCTGAGAGAGGCTTGGAAGCCGATTCTTTTGAACTAATGTTAAGTTTCTAGAATGAAATATTGATAATATTTAATGATAAACCTACCTTATTTAGAATCTCCTTTTCCTGCTCAACAACAGCTGTGGTTGATGGATCATTCTGAACAACATCAGCACTTCTCATGCCATAATTTGGATATGAATCGTGCATATTAGGGTCTGTGCCAAAGTCTCCTGAATGATTTTTGAGGTTTTCATCCACAATGATTTTAGTCTCCTCCATCTTAGAGATAGGGATATCGGAAGCTTTAGGAATGGAATAGCCTCTTTTCCCAAACTTTTGGAGAACATTAGTCTTCCAGTTCTTCATTTTCTCTCCAATCAAGCTGGTATTTTCATTCTCTAGCATCTGATTAGCCACCTTCTGGTATCTGGGGGTATTCTTGGTAGACAAAAACCCAGGAGTTGGACAAAAGGAGCTATAGGCTATTTTGTACCTAAACATAACGACATTAGGCACAATCTTACCTGCTGTTTTCGATCATCTGGCTTACAGAAGTATTTTTGTTCAGCAATTTCTTTAATTTTCTTTGATTCCGAGCATGCTGCTTCAGATTCATGGTATTTATAGCAGATTTGACATTCTGAATTTTGTTCACAAGCTTCATGTTCTCATCCTTAATCCGGTTGTAATCATTCTTCCTAGTGACATAGTTGAGGCTCTTGAATGCCAACATCCGGGAATTCACATTGGGAAGGGAAGTATTCTTCATATTTCCTTGATTTGTAGACTCTACTTCAAGTAGTTTATTTAATAATCATATGATTCTCTTCATCGATCTTCCTCTGCAGTTGAAGATTTAAATGCCTTGAGGGAGAAACAAACTGAGGGATCTTATTTGTTCATCCGAAAGTTCGACCTAGCCTTCCCTCTAGGAGTCAGGAATAGGCTTACCTCGGAGAATTTGAAGTGAACGCAGTCCTCTTGTTCTTGATTTTATTTCTTTCGGATAAAGGTTCTACAGGTTAACACAAAAATTACGGTTCCGTGCAGAGTTTTTGCTTGAGTACATAGTTGCATTCATCTTCTGTGGAACCTTATCCTATAATCTAACATCACCATTTCCTACTGGCTGGACAAGTGAAAGATTTTGGTTTCTTTTTAACCCAGAATCAATCGCAGGCTTCATATTCTTCAACCTCTGCATGTGAAACTTATACTGCTCCTCCTGCATCACCATGAACATCGGATTATGATCTATACCCATATCTATCATAACCATTAACCTCCAAATCCCCGACTAAAATTTTCCACTCACTATAAACTCTATTACATTCATTACCAATAGAATCCCTTCTTCATTCTTAAAGCCTCTTCCTGAAAAGAGTCAGCCTAGCCGAAGGCTGCATAAATTTTTCAAAATTTGTACACGTCTGCTCACTTGGAGGCCTCATGGCAGAGATTTTTGAATTTTAGAAAATTGTTTTGGCATTTTAGGGGATTTAGGGGTAAAAGAGGGGTTTCGATACAGCAGAGACTTACTTAGCTTCTCCATTATGATAATAATTTTCAATATTTGAATTATTTGTTGGGGTTTTGGGGTTTTGGGGTTTTGGGGTTTTGGGG